GCGAAACCATGCGGCGCGTGTTCTGACGAGGTCCTCGATCTAAAATTATGTGAGAAACCTGGCGTCGCAAACAAATAATCGGCATGCGCGCGACGCCGCGCGCGCGTTGCTTGCGACAGATTTGCTGCTGAAGATTTAAAGGGCTGGATGCTTTTGATAAACGAGCGCGCGATGGGGGGGGCAATCCTGGCCCGCCTGGATCGACGGGGCAACATCGCATGCACATTGCTCCCAGGGGGGTGGGCCCACAGAACTTCGAGGAGGGGTCCTCCTTTTGCGCTGGCAATGAAACTCCAAGCGGCGGCGATGGCGCGGCGACGGCGGCGGCGCAGCTCCCGGACCGACCGGCGGCGACGGCGACAACATAGCCGCCAGACCGACCGCCAAGCCCAGAGGGCGGGCGGCGACGGGCCGGCGACAGCCCGGCCGCCAGGCCGACCGTCAGAAGGCTACGAGGCGGCGACGGGCCAGCGACGGCGACGGCATGGCCGCCAAGCCGATTGCCAGTTCCCGATTCCAGAAGCAAGTCAAGTCAAACGACAAGTGCACGCAGAACCACTCCGATGCCCCACGCGTTGAACGCGACCCTGTTGCACCCGCGCATCTGTCGCGAACTCGCCAGGCGCGCGCGCTCTGCGCTCAGACGTGGACCCGACTCTGCAAAGTACAAACAACGCAGTCCTTCCTTTACCTGACCACACAAATCCAAGACAAACGCCAGAGTCGCTGAGGCGGGGGCAGAATGTGGATGCGCCCTTCCCTCCACCCTGGGGCCCCGGCGAACCTCCACGGCGCGCGCTAACCCCGCTCTGTTCGAGAACCACTCCCCATCCGACGTCGACTCCGTCAAACGCCCAATGCAAAAACATTGCTCGCTCTATGTTTGAACCCGTGTGAGATATTAAGACGGACGCGCGCGACGCAAAGGCGCGGCCCCTCGATTGGGACTGGATGTGCGATCCACCTTTTGTTTTTTTCTGCGCCACGGCAATGCGCAGAAGAAATCAGAAAACGGCGCCGTCGCGCGCGCGCCCCCCCCACGCAGACCAGCCTCGGACGAACCTGCAACTGGCTGCTAAGGGGGGCGGCGCAGAGGAGCTCAAGCAACGGCCGGCGAGCGCGTGCGCCCCCGTGCAGACCAGCCTCGGACGAACCGGCAACGGGCGGCCGGGGGCGCTGTGCAGTCGGGGGGGGCTCTCGAGGCTTCTTGGAGTCCCTGCGCAAGGCGATCGACACTCCTTGGTCGAGCAGTCCGCACTCTGCCGCGGCAAGGGGGGGGTTGACCATCCGAGGGGAGCTCCCACCTGCCGCGCGGGGTGCCGTGCACCCGCGGCGGCAGCGCTCGCCTTCTCGGGGCCCCCTCCCTCGCCAGACGGCGAGTGACCCAAACACTTGCATCGCGCCAAACGTCTGCGAGCGCTGGGTGGCGGCGGGCCAGCGCACGCAGACGGGCTTCAAACACCTGTTCAGCAGCGGCAGAGCGCCCAACTCGACGGGCGTTCAGGGCCGCGAGAAAGGCTTCCATGCAGGAAGCGCGACGGAGAAGACCAGCAACATCGTCAAATGCGAGGAGGAGGCAAGAGGGAAACCAATGGAATGAGCGCTCACCTTGATAGACTCGAATATGTCTCCCCATCCATCTCCTGAGAAGTGATTCCAGCTTCGGACAAGAAGAATAATGGCGAAGCGAATCGTTGTCGACTCCGTCGACGGTCTGGCACCCGAATAGACACCCTCTTGGGGCTGAGTGAAATCGGGAGCTCGCGCAGATAGATCCAGTCAGCAAACGAAAGGGAGCCATGCCAACATATATACTCGTTGCTTTGCGCACTCTTTTTATGTTCTCTTTCAGGATGACGATATGCTCACGGGTGACCTCAGGGCAAAAATGGTGGGCACGCCGAAGGAGGGTGGACTCGATACTCTCACCGGTCTCTAGCTCTCGAAACGCCCGATAGAGTCGATGTTGTAACTTGCTCGAAGAGGAAGGGATGTCCAGGGAGAGCCCGCAATACCACATTTTGACCGACCTCAAATATCCCAAGCGGCCTTGAGCATGCCACCCACGAAGCCACCTATACGGAATGTGTTCGACGTCTGAACGAGGTCTCCAGCGAATCCAGAAGCCCAAAGATCCACCCAGATCTCAAGAGATACCGAAGGGCAGTGGCTTTCGCGACCGCGTCGAGCTCCAGGAATTCAGTGGCGAATCCGACGCGGGTAAGCTTCGTGGCGACGTCGTGGGAGATGGCGTTCCTGGGCCCCGAGGTGAGGAGGAGCACTCCGTTGCGGTAGGCGGACGCCAGCTCCTGGGAGGGTGGGTAGAGCCGAAGCCTGAACAGGAGCGAGCTAACACACATGACCTGAAAGGCAGCCGCGGACTGAGCAATTCCCAATCCCAATGCACGCGTCCGGTGAATCCTCGCAACAAAGCTGGGGAGGATGGGGGGCCATACCTGCGCGTCCCCCTCGGGGCCGATCGGGAAGCCAAGGTAGGTGGCGGAGAGGGAGACCTGAATGAGGTTGCAGGGCGCGCCAAAGGAGCGGAGGAGGGAGCGGATGGGTGATGTGTCCATAGTCCCGCAGACGACCACCTGGCACTTCCGAAAGATCAAATGTGCGATCCACCCGTTGAAACAGGCGCAGGCTTTCAAGTCGAATATTGGCGGCGTGAGGACGATATCCCAAATTTGAACTCCCCTGGCCCCCCACCGCTGCGGTTGCTGTAAATGTCGAAATTTAGGCCACGCAGGATTTTCGCCTTTTGGCTCGAGCTCTAGTGGCGGCAAGCCTCGCCGTGTTTCGTAATATCTTTGATGAGCAAATTGGCCACCTCGCGGCGGGGGCAGCCTTCTCTTCCGCAGTCTGCTGATGCCCCCCGTCTCGAGATGCCCGAGATCGCGCGCTCGCCGCCGTCTGGGCTGCTGAAGCCGTCGTCGCGTCCTCCGGCCCATTTTTTGATATCCTCAACGTCACCGCTGGCGCTGTCCACCATCGTCTTGAACCCTGTCTCTGACGACAACGACATGGCCTCCTCGCATCGCCCGGCGCTGGGGCATTCTCGGCCGCGGCGGAGGCTTCACGGGCACGCGCGCACTTGTTGGAGCGATGGCCGGGCTCCACCGCATCCTCGGGCATCGCCGCAGATTTATCTGCAAGAACGCTATCTTCGGTGTTTCGCGCCCGCCAGACCCCACCGACCGTTCCCGCGCATGTACTGTTCGCGCGTTGCGCGGCACATCAAATAAATGTTTGCTTAGGCTTCGCCCGTCGTTTGCATCTGAAACAAAAACCATTCACCAAGTCTTTTCGGGCGAAGCATGCAGGTTACCAATTGCGGACTCAACGCCGTTCCCCCAGCCCGATTCGAAATCGATCTCCCCGCGCGCGCCGTGGGCCGTCGCACGACAGGTATCCTTTTTGATCGCCCCGTTCGGATAGAGAAGGTAGGGGGGTCAGGTTGCTGCGCTAGCTGAGATTTTCCGTGGGCGCACCATGGGCACGCGCCCCCCTGGGCGCAACTCCAAAATTGCAGTGGCCGTTATGAGAAAACAAAAGCCGGCAGTGGCAATTCTTCGCAGTTGGTGCTCTTGGATTTTCCAGGCTGGAAACTAACAGCGACGCCCCATATATATGCGGATCTCCGCGGCGAGGATTTGTAGCAGGAGCGGATAAACTCGCTCTTCGTGCAGCTTCATGCTGCCTATGCGGCGCGAAGGCCCAACCAGGCGAAGCAGCTGCGTGGTGCTACTGATCGCCGTCGTCGGGCGCATCCGGCTCGCATTTTGGGGTGTCGTCCAGGCTCTGGTGCCCAAGCTGCCATAGCATGACTGGCGGGCAAGCGGCCCGCGCGCTGATAGCCATCGCCGCCGTCGCGGCCATGCGCGCTTGACGCGCGCGTCGCCTGCCTCTCGGGCCGTGCGCCACGCTGAAGCTATACCCGAGGTGAGCTGCGCGCGGCTCGAGGTGTGGCGGAACGACGTGGATTGCCGCCGCCGCGGCTGCAACAGCCGCGGGGGCACCGCACTGTCTAACTAGGCTGGGGCATCCTTTGTTTGAGCCGAAGCTCGGGGGTTTAGTTCGGATTGCCTGCCCGCCCCCAGGATTTCTTGCCCGTCACCACCTGTGGCGGAGTGGGAATAGGTGTGACCGCTGTCTCCGTGGGGCTCTTTTCACAAAGCAATAGGACACATCGCCACCCCTCAACCAAATTGAAGTGTACATCGCCACGCACGGAACCACCCCCTGGCAAATTTACAAAGATTCGTCACGTTGCGCTTCTGATTCTGACTAGAACCAATAACTCCTAAGGTCGCCACCCCAAAATCCTCTCGCCTCGTGAGCTGGGTTGGGAAGCCGGCCGACGAAAAGCAAAACGATCACAGTGAGAAAGTACGCACGCCGCCCCCCGTCAAATTGGCATCAATGGCGTATGCATGTCTACAGATGAGTTTGTATTTTAAGGAGCATGTTTGTGTGTGACCGTGTCGTTTTTTCAGGAAGCCGTGCGATAATATGCAATGTATGCGCCCCGCATGTCATACCGTTCGAACGACATGAAAGAGTCCCTGGAACGGCACAATTGTTCAGAAACAATTGTTGCATCTTCCCGGCCAACTCCTCAACCTCCTTCCTGTACCTCCTCCATCCTCCTCTCTCCTTCCTCCTCCTCCTCCTCCTCTCTCCTTCCTCCTCCTCCTCCTTCTCCTCCTTCTCCTCCTCCTACTCCTCATCCTCCTCCTCCCTCGCCCTCATTCCCTAAAGAACTGCTCATTCCACCATGCCTGCTCCTCTTCCCTGATCCTACTCCTCCTCTCTTTCCCTGGTCATCCGTCCTGCCTCCCCGACCTGCTCCTGCTCTCCCGCTCCAGAGATCAGATCCCCGAAGGTCATCGTATCATGGGAGGTCTCCTTGGGTCTCTAGAAGCCTCCAAAAGTCGCACAAGACACAACACATCAACTCGGTCCTCAATCCTCGGCGTCATCGCGGCCAAGAAGGCCTGGTAGGCCGCCGGGTCGTGCTTCGGCCCGGGACCGGCCACCAACTCCCGGGCCGCCACGCGCAGAGCGTCCACGAGCCCGTGATAAAGCTCGCTGGCCTCGCCGCCGCCGCGCTTCGTCGTCGCGATGGTGGTGGGGGTCGTTCGTCGTCGTCGTCGTCGGCGTGGAGTTCGTCGTCATCGATGTCGCAGCGCTTGTCGTCAGTCGTCGTCGTCGTCGTCGTCGCCGACGTCGCCGTCTAGGTTTCTGTCGTGGCGTGGCGTGGCGTTCGTAGTCGTCATGGTGTTTGTCGTCATAGTCACCAGTCGTTGTCGTGGCCGTCGCTATGGTCCTTCGCGGTGGTGGTGGTCGTCGAGCTCCTCCTATTCCTCCTGCTATAAATGCAGCTATGCGGGTATCCGACACCGTGGCCCCTGGCAAGTTCAGGCGTGCTGGAATGCCAAAGGCTGTCTGGCAAGTTTTGATTGATCTTCGAAGGGGGCCTCACCTCCCAGGTCGCACCCAGCCACGCACACCGCCCCTCCTCTTCGAGGCTCGAACAATTTGACAGATTCGAGCTCTCGATGCTCCGATGCCTCCAAAACGGCCCAATATCGCTACAAGACGGGCCACGTTGGCCTCAAGACGGCCCAAGATGGCTTCAAAAATGTCCACGAGACCATCGAGGGGTCCAAAGAGAGACCCAAGAGCCTTCCCCTGGAGCCCCGAGAAGCAACCGTAGTCTATTGTCCGTTGGTGTTTCACTGGTTTTCGGATTCTCGGTTTACGAGATTCCGATGTCCCAAAACGACCCAGAGGCCACCACGACTGCCCCAAGACGGTCCACGAGGCCCCCCAAGGCCCCAAGACGGCCCGAGAGGGCTCCAGGGTGCGCGAGACTGTCCAAGAAGGGCCCTAAGACAGCCCCAAGAAGGGCCAAGGAAGGTGAACACGAACCGACAATTCGAGCCTTCCGCCTCAAGGGGGCTCAGGAGGCCCCACGAGTTCCAAAAGAGCCCCCAAGAGGCGTCCACGAGGGCCGCGACAGGGCGAACACCATGTATATGCGTTAGCTGCTGTTGTTTTTAATACATTGGGGGTTTTAGCCTTCGAGAGCTTCCGACGCTCCAAGGCGGCCCAAGAGGCCCCCAAGACTCTTCCGAGACGGTTCGAAACGCCCCGAAGAGAGCTCCAATACAACCCAAGAGGGCTCCAAGACTGCCCCAGAGGCGCCCGAAAAGGCCCAAAAGGGGCCCCAAGACGGCCCCAAGAAAGGCCCAAGAGCGGGAACACGACCCGTAAATTCGATCCTTCCGCCTCAGAATGCAGGCCCCCAGCATGCCGCATTGTCTTCTCGAAAAATGACCACCCCAAATGCTGCGCTGGCACGGTGGCGGAACTGCCGGAAGCACCTGGATAGGTCAGATGCCGTCAGTGCTGACATGAAAACATTTGGGATTCGGCCAGGATGCAAGCGGGCATCGTTCGAGTGATGACGCGAGGCTGAAAAGGATGGGCTTCCCGCCATGTCGGTCGAGGTCGGCAGAGGGGCGGCGCAGAAACAAGCGGTGCAGATAGACAAGATCTGGCTGGACGCCGATCAAGCTCCTCCGTACGGGGAGCCGAATTTGTGGAGGATGCGTTTGGCGTGGGGGCCCGAGTGCCGCCTTGAACAATGCAACGCAGTCGAGCGGAAGGGGACAATTCCCCAGATTGCCTCGCAACACGCGGGGTAGAAAAGCGGTGGCCTTGTGGATGCTACCAGGCATCGATAATGCACCCTGGTAAGACCCATACAAGCGAGCTCCAGGCTGGGGGCGGGGTTGTCTTTGTCTGGGACCGCTTGGGCCTTCTGGCCAAAATTGGAATGACCCAGCAGACGCTAGAAGCATGGGCAATCCGTGCCAAGCGCCTGGATGCGTCGCATCGCCAGGAAAGCGAAGTGGCTGGAGACTCAGATTCGGATTTCTGGGGCAGTGTGATTAGCCACACTGGGGGCACATGATTAACATACAAATGTCAATCTCGGGCGATCTGCGGCGGAGTGCCGGCCCGATATGGGTGCCTCAAGGCCGCCGCCTTGACTAAAGCGGGCGCCTGAAGAACAGGAAGGCGGTCGACCGACGCGACAGAAGCGGCTCCACGTCGGTGGAGACAGGAGAGAGCAAGGGAGAGGGAGGGGTGGCAAAAATACGAGCTGGCGAACCGAGAGACCCGTACACATCTTTCACATTCCGCTCCCTGATCAGGCAATGCAAACTGCCGAATCAAACAAGAATGTCGCTGGGCCCTGGGACATGGCTTAGAACTCCATATGTGCACGTATACACAACGCTCAACCCTATGCAAGTCTGCTCCCGCTCGCACCCATCAAGTCCGCCCCTGGGGCCTATTCACCAAGCGACGGGGAGTCGGGGAACACCACTTCCTAATCACGTGCTGACATCCATTTGCTTGTGTCATGTACTCCCTGTTTGGTATAGTCAAGAGCCGCCTGTTTGATATAGTTTTCCAACTCATTTACTGGCAGTTCAAATGCCCCCAGTTCAATCTAGTCTGCTTGAACAAGCTCGTGTGGTAGTGACGCGCGGTCTGCTCCAGAGAAGCGAAGATGGATGGAAGGGGGCGAAGAACGAGATGCGATGCGATGCGACCACCGTTGCGGACAGCGTCCAGGCCTAGAGCAGACCAGGTGGGTGAGGCCATGGCCTCTAGGATCTGAAGTGCCTGGATACATGCAACGCGAAACATTTAAAAGGTTAGGAGGAGAAAGAAAGGAGGAGGAAAACAACAAATCCTTGGTGTCGGTGTCGGCGCGGGTTGGGCGAAGAACGAGAAGCCCGCAGGGAAGGAGAAAGCAGGGAGCGTGGAGTAGAGGAGAAGAGGGGAAGGGGGCCCACTCAAGGTTCATCCCACGGTCTCTGTTGGAAAGCTGACGAAGGTTTCCGGAGGAATGTGGAACGGGGCCTCAAACTTCGATGCCTTCCTTGAGGGCGTCGATGCCGACCCTCCACCTCGCTTCCTCCTCCTCCTCCTCGTTCTCCTCGTCCGCCTCCTCCTCCTCCCCCTCCTCCTCCTCCTCCTCCTCCTCCTCCTCCTCATCAGCATCAGCATCAGCATCAGCATCAGCATCAGCATCAGCATCATCATCATCAGCATCATCATCAGCATCATCAATCATCATCATCATCATCATCATCATCATCATCATCATCATCATCATCATCATCATCATCAAGCCCTGGCCCGAGGTCCCAGGGCATGAGGGCCAGTTCCGCAGCAGCCCTCATTGTTTGCCTCACATCGGTGCTGCGATGTGCGACCACCCGTATGGAGATTGCGCAATGGAACCCTCTCTCTTTGAGCGACTATGACAGGCGACTCGAAGTGGCACAACAGCTACGCTTCGCTGATGTGGTGCTGCTTGCAGGTACTACGGTGAAGAAGCAGCGCGATGCACCCACATACCACGACGTTTCCCTCCACGAGCAGTTCATTATGATCAAGTTTGGATGGCAGGGCCCCAGAGGAGCGATGGTCAACAAATCGTGTGGAGTGGAGATCTGGCTGAATCGGAGACGATTTCGACGGGCACAGCTGGTGCACTTCTGGGCAGTCCCCCACGGGTTACAAGGACGACTGGGTGCGGTACGAGTGAGATCAAGCCAACACGACTTCACCTTTGTGGTCAGCTATTTCCCCCCGGGGTGTACAGACGCCAAGAGTATTCCGAAGTATGAGGCGACGGTCAGGAAGCTGGTCGAACAGTTACAACAGATTACTGAGGGGACCCCCAATCGATCTACGATGATTGCGGCGACGGATCTAAATGATGGCTTGGGTATTCGGAGTGTCGACGGCATACAGCAGGCAGTGGGCAGCGAGTGTTTGGGACCTTACGGGCGCAGCATAGAGCATCAGGCGGGCAGCCACTACCGCGACTGGATGGAGCAACGCAACCTTGCAGCGATTACGAGCTGGCATCCCTGTGGCCCGACATACTACGGTCACCGCAGCTGCAGCTATATCGATCACATGGTGATCCCCGCTCCTTGGATGTGCCGTGTGAAGCGCTGTGCTGTCGCGTACTCCCTCACAAGACGGGTGCGCGCGATCCCTAGCGTGGCCGTGCTGGATCACATGATTATTGTTGCGGAGCTGGACTATGAGCTTACTTACAGCGCGCCTGCCAACCACGGCGCACACTGGGACGACCTCTCATTGGGACGTGCGATGAATGACGAGGAGGGGGCACTCCAGTTCCGAGAGGAGGTGGAGGTGGCCCTTGCGCAGCAATTACACGAAGACGGGTACCTGGAGGTGGACGCCTGGATGCGCGCTCACACGCTCGAGACAGCCTGGGAGAAAGTGGTGGCGACGATACGCACGGCAGCCCAAGCACGGTACAGTACTACACGACAACATCGGCCGCAGTGGTACGTAGAGATAGCGAGAGAAAGGGAGGCGGCGCTGAGGGCTCGCACCAGAGCGCGTGACAAGCTCGACGGCGACCTGGACAGCATCCGACGACTGCGACAGTGTACACGACGGTGCAAGCAAGCAAGGATGACCATCCAGAGGGAACGACAGAGTGAGCTGAATCGCGAACTGGAGGAGGCACTACGAGGCAATCGAGAAGATCTGGCCTGGAGGATCAGTTTTCAGATGGCAGGCAATGGACTGGGACCACGGAAGCGGAATTACTACATACTACCTGATGCCAGGCCCGACTTACAAATGTGGACGGAGGACTTGGCACTGAGTGGACGGGAGGGTGGGATGGAGGCCATTGCTACTACGGCGGGGGAGTTTATTGGTGCAGCGTCCGCCAACGACTACCCATTCTACCCCGAAGTGAACCATTGGGAGCAGGCCAACCGTGATCTGGATGGAGTAATTGCGAAGTTATACCACGGTCGACGCCGACGAGCAGCACCACCGTGGTCACTACCGATGGAGGTCTGGAACACTCTTCTCACCTGCCGCGCGCCCCGACGCACCACCAATGACCAACCAGCTGTGGTGGGTGCTTACCTACAAGAGTGTCTTCTGGCACAACTAGCAGGGGTACGACAACACAATCGACTCAACGCCTGGTGGAACCTCTCGCAGACGTATCAGGTAAGCGAGCTGAATCACAAACCACGGACGAGGGGGACACGTCTACTACACGGGCTCTGTAGTTTTGGCAAGGCATGGGTTGGGGCGAGACAGCCTAGGCCTGGACTGACTCCACCACCAGAGGATCATGGCTATGTGAGAGGGCGGTCACGAGTGGGTGCGTTGACCGTGGGCAATGTGTTGCTATGGCGACTCGGTGCAGCAGGCCTGAGCCACATCACGACCAAGCACGACATGACGAATGCATTCGCCAGCGTCACTCGCCACCACCTCGACGACGCGGTCCAGCAGCTGCACCAGCCCGAGGATGTGGAGATTATGGTAACACGACATCGGAACACAGCGTGCGTGGTCGATGCGTGCGATGGCACGGGTGTATTTCAGAATCGAGTGGGTTGTTTCATGGGTGATGCAGACGCGGCCACGAAGTTTCGATTGGCCTTTGAGACGCCGACGGCTGAGTGGAGGAGAGATCTCTTTCCTACGACGTCGGCCATCGAGCTGATAGCAGGGTGCGCAGTCATCCAGGAAGTGTGCGATCTGGAAGTGAGGAAGTATGCTGATGACCTCACATGTACTCATATTGTCCCAGACGCGCGCAGTGCAGCTCGTCGAGTAGAAGTTTCAGATCCGTATCTTGATGCAGCACTGGGACGGGTTGGCCTCGCCCAGAGCCGTGAGAAAAAAGCTGTCAGCCCGTGTTTCGTGGGCCGAGGGGCTCAGAGGTCTGCAAGGGCCCTGCACTACCACAAGGTCGCCATCTCGGGGGAGGTCCAGGCGACCCCGGCGTTCTTGGGAGCTCACACGCAGTCTTCGGGGAGGAACGACGAGGAGATCCGAGCTAGATGCGCGGCGATCCGAATGGGCTGGCGAGGAATGGGGAAGTTCTGGAAGACCTGTCAGAATTTTAATCGGAGGCGTCTGGTGTTTCGGGCTCGTCTTATAGGAGCGGCGCTGGCGGGTCTTGAAGCTCGGGTTTTGACAGGGGAGCAGGTCAAGCGCCTTGATTCGGTGGCCACGCGCTATGCTGCTGCGCTGTGCAATGGGGTAGCGGTCTATCGCAGGCTGAACGAGGGTGAGGTGGAGGAGGGAGGCGAAGCTGCGGAGGCCAGGTGGAAGGTGACGACGGTGTGTGCGGAAGCCGTGTGGAAGCGCATCGCGATAGTACCCCCCAGTGTGGATATTGGTATCCGACGGCTCCGCCACTTTCAAGCTCTCGTCCGCAATCCCCAACGGCATGTTCAGGAGCTCGCTGCAGTTTTCGGGAAAGTCGCTTTCGAGAACCCAGAGATCCAGACTTTTGCGTGGGCGCCACCGTGTGCCCCGCCCATCGCCCCAAAGGATCGCACGAACCCCTGGGCCCTGCAGTACAAGAACGACCTGTTTCTTCTTGGGAAGCTTCGAGGGGGCCTGGATGTCCTGGAGACGGTGGGGGACGATCACATGAAGGTTTTCCTGGACGCAGAACTGAAACGGCGGTTTCTCAAGTTCGATGTAGCGAAGCTCCGCAAGGTCTGGCTTGAGCGCCCCACCATCACTCCCACGAGGCCGTACGAGGATCAGGAGTGCTTCGAAGGCGGTTTTCTGTGTTCGCTGATCGACGGAGAGGGTCTGGAGTGCAACCGTAGGTTTCGCACAATGGCGGCGATGCGTGCGCATCAGACACACACAGGCGGAGGGGAGCACGGAAAACTGAACTTCTTCACGAGATTGACAGTGACGAACCAGTGTCCTTCGTGTTTGTCATCGTTCGCTTGTCGCCGCACTGCTATCAACCACATCGCTGCTGCCTACAGACATGGACGATGCATTGCTGACTTCTCGGTGTTCAATCATGCTGTCATCGCTCCGCTGCTGTTTGAGTGCCCCGAGACAGAATGTGGCCAAGACTTCGAGGATCTTCAAGCCCTGCAGCACCACATTCGCACTACTCATCTTCCTCAACCTCGGCCGCATGTCGTGGATGCAGGGGCTGCCCGAGATAGCCGAGGGCGACGCCGAAGGACGGCCGAGGAAGACGGCCAAGGGAGGGCGCAAGAGCGGCCCCCAGACCGCCAAGGCGGCCAATGCTGCAGGCAATGGCGGCGGCAACGAGAAGGCGCCGAGGAAGGACACGAAGCTGGTGGACCTCAGCGAGCTCGACGGAGACGAAATAGAGGTGTCGACCATGCAGAAGTTCTTTCCCGCGATGATGCGCTTGCTGCTGAACCTGGCGCACCGCCAGAGGCAGATCGAGTCGATCGAGCTGAAGACGTTCCTCATGTCGTCAGGGCTGCAGCCGGCGGTCAAGGCGCGGGGACGAGTGCGAGCGTGGATTCGCGCCGCCGAGGAGATCCGCGCAGGCAACGACAAGGAGCAGGGCCCAGTGAAGATCAAGCAGATGGGTACGATATCGGTGGCATGCTTCGCGGGAGTGTTCGAGGGACTGCTGGCAGAGGGAAGCGCGGTGGGCCGCGCGAACCAGCAACAACTCAGCACTCTGAAGGAAGAGCTGGCGAAGCTGACCGTTCACGAGATGGGCGAAGTAGTGCCGATGGCGAAGCTCTCGGACTGCTACGAGGAGGGCAAGGTGAAGCTGGTGCTGTCGTTCGGGAGTCGAGTGAACCTGACCCCCGTGCTGGAGGCCCTGGTCCAGGCAGGGGCAGACTACAAACAGGGGATGGCCCCGATGGGCCACCTAGAGAGGCTGATCCACACGGGCCTGCACGAGCTCGAAGGAGGCATGATGGACTAGGCCGTACACAGATGCCAGGCGCAGGACCACTGCACGAGGGGCCAGAGGAGAAACGACGGCGCCAGGATGCCGTGGTGAGAAGGCTTTGTGAGGTTGCACGTGAGGCCCAGGTGACCCTTCCCTCCTCCTCGCAGATTCCTCCGACTCTCCACCCCTGTGTCCGACAGACTGCCAGTAGGACTCTGGAGACCCCCACCCCCCCCTCTCGGCCTGATAAGCCCCCTCTCACCTGCTTCACCTCCACACCTCGGCTCCAGTTGGTACCGCCACGCCCAGTGGAGACCCCAAGACCCGTGCGGCCTCGGAGGCCCCCCACGGCCCCTGGAGCGCGTGATGTTTCTGGAGGCGCGTCTAGGGACCAGGGTAGAGCCCGACAGGGCTCTAGGTTTTCTGAGCGCTGGAGCCAGGCTGACCAGTCAGCCGTGCTTCGACTTCTCTCGGGGGCATCGCGGTAACTACTGAACGTAGTAGTGTGCCGCGAGATGCGTGGTCGCACATCGCATACTTAAGCTCGGGTTTAGCCCGATCCTAGAGGCGTTCGGGCACGTGGGAGAGACGGGGCCGCCTCCGATGGGTTCTAATCTAATCTAATCTAATCTAATCTAATCTAATCTAATCTAATCTAATCATCATCATCATCATCATCATCATCATCATCATCATCATCAGCATCAGCATCAGCATCAGCATCAGCATCAGCATCAGCATCTGCATCAGCATCAGCATCATCATCATCATCAGCATCAGCATCATCATCACCATCACCATCATCATCATCATCATCATCATCATCATCATCATCATCATCATCATCATCATCATCATCATCATCATCATCATCATCATCATCACCATCATCATCATCATCATCATCCCCTATCCTCCTCCTGTTCCCCCCCCCTGCTGCACCTCCCTCCTTGCTCGCCGCCGCCTCATCCTGCCAATCCGCCTCCGGAGATACCCTTCGCTCCTCCTGCGTTCTCTTCGTTCCTGCAAAAACGTGGCGGCGACGGCAAGCCGCCTGCTCCTTGGTGCACTGCGCGTGGTACTTGACGTTCCTATCGCCGAGCTCCAGCTTGCAAACCAGGGAGGCCTCCCGTGCCCGCTAAGAGGATGGAAGGAACATGAGGGCGATGATGAAAGTGGCGATGGAAGCGCCGAGATGCACAACGTGACTATGCGCGCACATGTTGTACCCCCAACGCACACATGGGAAGGCGCGCTGACGTTCCCCGAGCAGCGGCAGAAACAACACCAGAGGTCCCTGGAGGCCAGAAAAGAACACGACCCCAAAACATCAAAATCCTTCAGAGGAGATCCTCCTCCTCACCCGTCTCTCAGGGGGGGGGGGGCCCGCCTGGGGAACCACGAGCAGCCCTTGCTGCACTCCCCGCCTGCACAGCGCCGCCACGGACTCCGCGTCGCTGTGGTCTGCCTCGCAGGTGTTGGCAAGATGAGAGATGAAGGATGGTGAACGGAAGGAGGAGGGGGATGGGTGTGGGAAGAGGAGGGGAAGGAGGAGCGAGAATTGAGGAAGGGAAAGCAGGGAAACAGTAGAGAGGGACGAGGGACGAGAGGTAATGAGAGGGAAAAGGTAACTGCTGGGAGGATGGTTTGGAAGGGAAGGGACGAGCAGGACAATGCACAGGAAACAGGGGGGGAAAACTGGGAGGAGTAGGAGGAGGAGGAGGAGGAGGAGGAGGAGGAGGAGGAGGAGGAGGAACAAGACGAGGAAGGAAAGGAACGGGATAAGGAGCGTGATGAGGAATTCGAACAACAACAACAACGAACAGGAGCAGTCCGCAAAGAGATACGCTGCGATATGGCCAACGCTGTTGTGGATCTTCACCATTATACCGCTTGTGAGTCGGGTTCCTATGCTCTCGGACCATCCGCCAATGTTCCTTCACCTTCTCGCCCGCTACCCCTGCGCACTTCACATTATCAGCCTCTCTCCAGACCGCGGCAAGCATCCGAATCCCACCAGCCCTTTCGGGCGCGGGTGGTTCAGAGCGTTTCCTCCTCCACATCCCCTTCCTACCTATACTCCCTCCCCAGACTCCCTTCCCTGGACCTGAGCGGGGATGTCGCAACCCATGGGGGCATCTACGAAAGCCTCGGCGAGAAGTCAACAATCATCAGGGTGAGGGGGCCGCACGGTCACTCAATGTCCGTGGGTGCGTGGCTCAACTGGGATTCCGCGCCCCCCTTCTTCTCCAGATTCCGACCGACCGCGCCCCCCGCGCCGCCGGAATGCTGCCCCTCCCCGCCGTCCTGAACTTAGTCCGACCGATCGTGCCCTCCGCGCCCCCCCCACCCCGCGACCCCCCGCCCCTCAGTTCGATCGACCGCGCCCGCCCGCCCCCCGCTGCCCGACCGCGCCCCCTCGCCCCCTTCCGCCAGCCCCCGCCCCCGTCTCCCAGCCGACCGTGCCCCCCCCCATCCCCTTGCGCCCGCGCCCTGCTGTTATTCCGACCGACCGCGCGCCCCCCCGCTGCCGAACCGCGCCCCCCGCCCCCCCCGCCCCCCCCCCCCCCTTTCCGCTCCCCTTCTTTCATTCCGACCGATCGCGCCCATGCGCCCGGTCCCCGCCGATGCCCGACCGCGCCTCTCCCCGCTGCCCGGCCGCGGCCCCGCGCCGCCCCCGGCTCCTTGAATCCGCCCCCCCCCCCGTCGACCGCCCCCCCTTGTCCCGATCGGCTGTGTCCGCGCGACCGCCCGCGGCGCCCCTCCCACTATTCCCGCCGACCGCGCCCCTCCCCGCGGGGCCCGACCGCGGGCCTCCAGCCCCCTCCCTCCCGATCACTTCCCGTTGTTTCGACCGACCGCGCGCCCCCCCCCTTCCCCCCATAGACCCGCCCCCTCTTCCGACCAACCCCGCCCCCCCCTCCGCGCGCCGCCGCCGGGGCGGCTTCAGGAGACTCCTCGAAAGGGTCCCGGGACTGCCGAAGCCCTTCGCGACGCCCGAGGACAACGCCAAAGAACCCCAGATCGACCCGACACGACACCAATAACCCTGACCAGGCATTAAGACCCCCCCCCCCCCCTAGGTGATTCTTAGCACTCGTGTTTTTCAATGTTCCAGGCGGGCAGTTTTCGCAGAACGATAAACTCAGCACCCGCCGCAAACAGAAAACAAAATCCATCGGTGGCCGCACCAATAAGGCCAAGAGAGGGTGCCGCAACGAATGTCAAGGATCTAGCCCAAATCTCTGTGGACCTCTATCCCTGGTAGGCCCTGCGAAGCCCTGCTTAGCCCTGCTACGCCCTGCGGGCCCGAGGGGCCTTGCTAAGCCCTGCTAAACTTTGCTAGGCCTCGCGAAGCCCTGCCAAGCCCTGCTACGCCCTGCGCAGGGCCCTGCGAAGCCCTGCTAGTTGAGCCCTGCTAGGCAGGCCCTGCTCAGCACTGCTCAGCGCTGCTACGCCCTGCTATGGCCTGCTAGACGTGGTCCGAGCTTGGTCCGAGGCAAAGCCCTGCGAAGTCCTGCTAAGCGCTGGTCCGAGCGCCGTCCGAGGCCAAGCCCTGCTAAGCCCTGCGAAGCCCTGGTAAGCCCTGCTAAGCCCTGCTAGGCCCTGCTAAGCCTTGCTAACCCCTGCTGAGCCCTGCGAAGCCGTGCTAAGCCCTGCTAAGCCCTGCTCAGCCCTGCTTGGCCTTGCTAGGCCCTGCTAAGCTCTGCTAGGTCCTGCTAAGCCCTGCTGAGCCCTGCTAAGCCTTGCTAAGCCCTGCTAAGCCCTGCTGGGCGTGGGCCGGAGCGCGGTCCGAGGTTAAGCACAGCAAAGCCCTCCTCGCCGTCCTGTTCCCATGCGATTCCTGTTGGAATCCCCTTACAGAACTCGATTTTCGTCGGCCGTCCTCGGGGGGAGTCCATCGGAGGGCGACGCCCCGCTCCGCACCGAGGCGTTACCTTAGCACCGGGCGGCGCGGAAATTCCAGAGAGCCAGAGGCGTGGACACGGAGTGAATCTGAATGTGAGTGAGTCACAATGCTAACGATAAACCAAGCAAGAGTGATCATAATAATGATCGCACTAATGAATGATACCACAATGCCAATAAGGATAACGAATTTTGAGTGCGAGGGAGTCTAAGCACAATGAGTCCGAATGTGAGTGAGTCTGAACAGAAGGATTCAGTCACAACCCAGGCACTGCTCCAGTCTCCGACCCACAACCCAGGCAATGCTCCAGCGTCTGACGCACGTCCCAGGCACTTCTCAAGTCCCTGACTCACAAATCAAGCACAACTCTGCTTTTCCTGTGTTCGTATTGCTTCTTATTTCCTCCTCCCCCTCCTCCTTCCCCTTCCCTTCCGACGCAAATCCTTTTGCATCCCCTTAAAGAAATAAACTTTCGTCGGCCTTCCAACGTGGGAGCCCGCCCCAGGGGGCCCCCCCGCCCCGCGCGCCCGCGTTATCTTAGCGCCCGCGGACACAGAAATGCGAGGGCCCGAGGAGCGGGCACGCAAGGATTCTGAGTGCGAGTGAGTCTGGGCAGTCTAAGCCTGCCAAGCCTTGCTGAGCACTGCTAACCCTGCTAGGCGCGGTCAGAGTGCGGTCCGAATACAAACCGGTAGCAGTAAGAATACGATGCGTAGGTGGGAAAATATACATGCGAATAATAATAACAATGTAGTGTGCGACTAATGGGTAGTACGAATAATAGGGGATAGTAGAATTGATCATATAATATGGGCAATAACAATACGAATGATAATAAGAACAAGTTGTCCTCCACCCCCGCTGCTAAGGGCCCTGATAAAGGGCCTGCTACGCACCCTTGCTAACCTCTGCTAACCTCTGCCGAGCACTGCCAGGCCCTGCGATGCCCTAGCTAGGCCCCGAGTCCCCGCAGCCAGGTCCTCTGGCGCGGCCATGGCACTCCAGGGCGCGGGGAAGTCATCATCCACCGGAAGGGGGGGGGGCGGGGGGGGGTTCTCAATGCCTTCTTGAGGCTAATGTTCAAAAAGGCCCACGCGAGCCCCGGAGAAGTTTCCGATGCGCCAAACAGCAAAGAGGCTCAAACCCCCCCCCAAAAAAAAAACGCCACGACCACGCGTTTCGCTCCATCCCCGGGCCGGCACCAAGAAACGCGCCAATGAAACCGCGCGAACCTCTCCCGTCATATTGAAGTCGCCTTCGGATCAAGAGCGCGCGCTGCACCCGCGCGGCCGCGCTGGAGTTCGCCGCCCCCTCGTCGCGGTCATTCGCCGGCCTGTCGCGGCACTCGCGCTTCTTCAAAACTGCCGGCACTTGGCGCCATGGCCGCCCCCAGGCGCCCCGCGTCCGCGATTGCGCAATATTTCTTGCGCGCTCCTCTTGCGTGGGAATCTCGCGATCGCCCGAGAAGTCCTCGTGTCATTCACGCAGAACTCGCGCTTAAGCAGCCTGCCTGTTCGACGTGACCGCTCTTTGCCCGCTTTCCCGGCCGCCCTGTCATTGCAGGGCCCGCCCGCCCGATCAGCCCGTTTGGTTCTGCCGCGCGTTTGCTTTTCCTGGCCCCCGCGCCCTGCTTGCATCGCTCGCGCTCCATCCCCCCCCCCCCCCCACCCACCCGCCCATCCGCCCCGCCCCCCCCCCCTTGCGGGGGCCGCGCTAAGCGCGCGCGGCAGGCGAGCCGCGCTAGGCGCGCGCGCGCTAAGCGCGCGGCAGGCGCTAAGGGGCGGAGGGGCGCGCGGTCGAATGCGAAGAGGGCGGGCGTCGAGGGTTCGGGGTGCACGCGTTGAGTAGCGAGCAAGCAGGTAGGGGCAAGCCGACGTAGCATGATTGGCGTCGTTGTCGTCGTCGCCCTGGCGGGCGGGTCGCGGCGCGGGCGGGTCGAGGCGCAGGCGGGCCGCGGCGCGTTTCGGTCGCGGGCGCGGCGCCCGTAGTTCGCGGGCGGGTCGCGACGCGGATGGGTCGCTCGGCCCCGGCAATCTTCGGTCGGATGCGAGTCGCTCGGCCCTCTGTTTTCGGTCGGCAATGAATCGCCCAATCCTTTTTGGGTTCGGTCGGACGCTGGTCACTCTGCCCCGTCAGATCCCCGTCGGGGGCGAAACGTTAGGTCGACCCCTTTGTCCGATCGGGGGCGAGTCTTTCGGCGCCCTCCGACCGAAATCAAGGTGTTCCGAACGACCCACCTCCGACCGAACGCTGAGGGGGCCGGCCGACGGACTGAAGACTCACATCCGACCCAGAACTCAGAGGACCGAACGCCTCACCTCGCCACCCCGCTCTCTAAGGTGCGCGTTTCCGCTGCCCCCTCCCCCCTTCTCCAGGGGGGTCAACTGCTTTGCGTCGCCTCGAGCGCGGGGCGGTTTCGCGCGTGGTCACCTCAATCGTGGGGCGGTTTAAAACGGGGCGACTTGGCGGCCACCTCGGTCGCGGAGAGGCCAAGGCACGACCACTTTGTGATCGCCTCGAAAGCGGGGCGGCCCAAGGCGGGGTCACTTGGCGGTCGCTTTGAGCGCGCAGCAGCCTCGAACGGAAACACTTGGCGGTCACTTCGAACGCGCGGCGGCCTAAGGCGGGACCACTTTGTGGTCGCTTCGCGCGTGGGGCGGTCTACGGCGGGACCACTTTGCGGTCGCCTCTCGCGCGGTTCGGTGTCTGGCTACTTTGTGACCGCCTCGGGCGCGGAGCAGGTCAGTGTGTTTTTTTGATGTCCCGCCCTACGCCGCCTCCGATGCGGAAATCGTGCCAGCGTGGGAATCGGAATTGATCGCGTAGGCCCGGTCGGCTGAGACTGGTAATGGTGCCCTCGGCGCAGCACTGTTTCCGCGCCATTATTCGCCTGCCTGCGTGGAAGTATCGGCCGCCCGCGGGGTGCCCGAATCTGATCTGTCTGTTCGTGCCGAACCTGGCTTGCTGAGACTCGGCGGAAGGCCCGACGCGGAACCGTCCACATAGTGTACGGGAGCCGTCTCGAGGATGATGTGTTGTGGGCGCACAACGCCATCGAAAACGCGCGCTCGCGGGCACAAATTTCGCGCCCGCGCCTGGCCCGCGCGAAGACGTGCGAGCAGCGCGCGCGGGCCGCCTCCCGCTTTCTTGCGCCTCGCGGCCCCGCGCGAAGGGCCCGCGCGCGCGAGGGGGGGGTGCGACTGCATGTGCGTGTCTGCGCGCGGCCCCACGAGCGAGGGCCACCGCGCGCGCGAGGCAGCGTTTATGTTTCTGCTGGCATCGCGATGCACGCCCCGTGCAAGCGTGCCGCGGGGATCGCGTCGGGGCAGGCATTGGTGCTTGCATCTTGCAGGCATCTACGTTTGTTTCCCGCCGTTGCGGACGGCGCGCGCGTTTTCGCCCCACCCTCCGGCGCCCCGCGCGGCGGCTCAGGCTGGCACCGCCAGGCTGGGCGGCGCGGGGGGTGCCGCACCCCTTGTCAAGTGGGCGCGGGCACCTCCGGGTGCGGGAGGCTGCTGGCGCAGCTGAAATTTACGCGGTTCCCTGTTGCATGCCATGGCGACTATTACGAGGAACGGGCCCGCGCTGTCACTTCACCAGATTAAGCTTGTATTCCCAGCTTCTCATTAAGGATGTAATAGCATGTCACGTATCATATACAATGGAAGGTACGCGCGCAAATTCAATCCACATAAACATATACAACGTGCCACGTGTAAATGAAGATGCATATTTTTTTCTGAAAAAAATATGGCAATACATATTGCAAGGCCGAAGCGCCACGGGCAGCAATACACATTGACAATGCGTTGTTGAAAAGGAGAAGGGGGGATGATGAGGAGGATGATAACAAGGAGGAGGAGGAGGAGGAGGGGGGAGGAGGAGGGGATGGGAGGGGCAGCGAGGGAGAGAGGAAGCGGGGAAGGGGCGCCCACGGGGTCCACAGGGGGGGCCGAGGAACGGGAGGAGGGGGGTCATCGAAGTGCCCGTCCCCCCTCCCCCATATGCACGAGGCTGACGGGGCGCCACGCTCTTCCTTGAGGTTCGTTTCCTGTGGCCCCCCCCTCGCCGCCCGCGATCACTCTTGACCCTTCCCCTCCCCGCCCCCCTCTCCCCAGGGCGATCCTCCCCCGCGGGCCCCAAGAGGCCCAATAGGGCACGGAGAGGCCCGAAGGCGCCCCCAGGATTGCCCCAAACGTTCCCGATAGGCTCCCACGGTGCCTCCAAGAGAACACCAAGAGCCCTGGGGAAGCCAGCCTGAGCAATTGCCTCAATGCCCTCGAATGTTTCTCGGGCCGTCGGACACGAGCCGAATCGCCCAACTGCAATTCGTGCACGGAGCTGCCGTGCGCCGTTGACCTCTGCGAATGTTTTGGGGGGGTCGGCGGAATGGCGCAAGCCTCTTGAATAATAAGATACCCTTTTGGGCCTCTTGGGGCCTCTTGGGGACCTATTGGGGCTTAGCTCGTATGTCGAGCCAGTGCGGTTTTCGGCGAAGAGCCATTGAATGAAGCAATGCGCAGCCCCGCGGGGGAATAATGATAGCGCATGAATCGCCTCAGGCGCGACGGGACACAATGAATAATGCATAACGTTTCTTCTCAGAACAGCCACAGCCTGGCCTCGTTGCTGAAGAGTCTGGCCAGCTGAATCGTCTTACCAGCGCCCCACGCGCACCCGCATGGCTGGGAGCCACCGCGCGCGGGCTCCAGTAACTAGAGCAGCAGGTCGAACTCAGTGCGTGGGAGCCGCGGGCGCGGCCTTCTTGAGCTTCTTCATGGGCGGAGCGGCGGTAGTCGCAGCAGTTGTCGAGGATGCCGAGCCTGCGCCCGAGGTGGGGTCGGTGGCCGCGGCAGCAAACGAGGTGCTGTCGCTGGTCTTCGCGGGAGTCGAATCGTCGCAGGCGCCCTCGAGCTCGGCGATTTTGCTCTGCAGCGTCGAGTGCAAGCTCGACTGTGAGACCTTCCACTTGAGCCAAGCGTGCGACAAAGACTGCGCCACCTTGGTCTTCAGCACGTCGAGCTTGGCCTCGCGATTCTTCATGAACTGAGACACGGCCAGGCACGTCGTCAGCGAGACCGCCAGCTGCGACACGGATGGCTCGAGCTCTCCCTTCAGCGAGGCGAGGAGGCGAGACATGCCCATGGCGACCTCACTCTTATCATCCATGAACTTCAAGTGTGCCGCCGCTTTCGTGGCGATGTTGGTCCACACGGCGGCCTGCGGCACCAGTGAGTCACAGCTAGACATCAGGACTTGCTGATCTTTTGTGCCCTCTGACGCGATCCACATTCACTTGGTAAAGTCCCACTTGGCGACTGAATCCAACACAACTTTGAAATCGGTGTGGAACTTCTTGTGGAGCACCAGACCGTTGTCCACCTTCTCCTGCAGAGCCTTCGTGAAAGACTCGAGTTCTGCCCAGAATGTGGCCTCGTAGATCGCCGTCTCTGGCAACTTGTGGTAAGCGTTCGGGGCAACAGCGACCGCCGCGTGGACGCCTTCCAGGATCTGGGCCACCTCCACGAGGCCACCGACGAACCTGGACTTCTTCAAGGCGGCCGCCGCGTCGTGGATCCACGCAATCGCCCTTGCCGCAGCCATGAGGCCCTTCGCCTCCGTCGGCAGCACTTCGCTGAGGGAGTCGTACTCTTTCAGACAAGCGAGAGCAAGCGGCGATGCTGGATCGCCCAACAACTCGCCCATCACTGAGACGAAGCCGCGATTGATCGCATCGCTGGAGCTAGCCCTCTGGAGGAAAGTGACGAGCTCCTTGCCAGCGTTCTGGAACTCGTCGGTGGCCTTCGGCACTCGCTTGAAGTCGATGTACATGTTGCTCCACACCTGCATGGACTTCTTCACGTCGTCTGCGCTGGCCATCTTGAAACCAGCGTGGTCCGCGATATTGGCTATGACGTCTAAGATGGCCTTCGCCTGGATAACCATCGAGTTCGCGGACGTCTCGAAGTGCGTGAGGACCTGGGTCGATTCCTTTAGCCACTCGATTGCCACCATGGCTTGGTTGTACTCGCTCCCGAAACCATCACCAGTATCAACATGGACGGCTTGTCGATTTCCAGGGTCCGCGATGTAGTTCAGGAGGAGATTCTGGTAGTCGCTCTGGCGCAGGACGGCGTCCACGAGCGTCAGAGTGAACTCGACGAAGTCGCTGCCCAGGTCGACGAGCTCGTTCAATTCAGCGGGGGGCAAGGTGTTTGCCTGCCCTACCTCGTAAGCAACATCGCCAAATGCACAGATATCAGCGATCCATGTGGAGTCGGCCTGCTCTGTGTATTCGATCCACTTGTTGACGCCATCGTTCGGCTCGTTGCCCTCCTCCGAGACCTCCTTCCGCATGGCCGCCAGCGAGTCACGAACCACCATCTTCAAACGCTCGGGGTTGGCGTCAGCGTCGCGATTCCCATGGCCTTTACGGTCGGCGTGGTGCTCTACCATGATATCCCACGCTGTCTTCAGGTGGTTGCCATGTTGACCTGGCACCCGCAGCAACGCTCTGACCCAGGCGGAGATCATGGACTGGTGTTCGACGAAGCCAGCGTTGATCGCCCTGATGCTCGGGCCGAAGACGTTAGCACCAGAACGCACCTCCAATACATTGGCAGCGGCGATGGTGAACACCATGTCCACGGCGACCTGAGGCGACCACTTACCGTTCACGAGCGAGTTTGCACCATGCGGCTTCAAGGTCTCCACGTCGCACGCCAGATCCACCTCGAACTCCCTGATTTTCTTGCCGACGAAGATGATGGTCATCTCGTCGGGCACACGCCAGAGCTTCTCCAGGAAGACCAACGCAATGGCCCGCTGCGCCTTCTCAGACCTCGCGCAAGGCCCAGCCAGATTGAAACCAACGCTATCCGTCGTGCTGCCGCAGCGCAGAGCAATCAGGAGGGCTTGGATGCACGCCACGTGCGCCTCCTTGTTTCCAACTGCCTTCTCTGCGACTGGCTGCATCGCTGCAGTGAGGATGTTCACGGTCAGATCTTCATCGGCACCAGCGAAGACTTTCACGACGTCGGGGCAGTCGGCACCGCTGACCTTGCCAAGCACGACGTTCGCGAAGTCACTCCTGAACGCATCAAGGATGCGATGGCGGCTTTCCAGGAACTCGGCGCGATCCGAGAGGGTCGTGGACAGGTTCTGGCAGCGGTCCGAAGTGATGAGGTTGCCGCACTTGCGCGCCAAGCTTTGCAACCTCCCGATGATGGTCTGGAAGGCCCGCTTGTACGGGCGCTGCCTCCAATGCTCGCCCAGGCTGAAGTCGTCGGTGTAGGAAGAGAGCGTGAATGATGCCGCCTCGACCACCGAGGCCTCGTCAGTAGACCTGCAGCGGCGGCCGTCAACAGACTTCTTAGACTCCTTATCGCAGGCCAGATCCGCCAGCGACGTTGGGCTCGATGATCGGCGACCCGAGGCTGCTTGAATCTTGCCCCGCCGCCCAGTCTCGCCACAGGCGTCGAGGTCGTCCAGGCCGTGCGAGGTGGCAGCGTCCTCGGTGTCACACGCGAGCCTCTCGGACAAGCTCTTCAAAGACGGGTGTCTGACCGCAGGCGCCTGCGCGCGCTGCGCGGAGCCCGTGCTGTCCCCTGGCTGGAAAAGCGGGACGTCTGGCTGCAACTGCAGGCCCTTGAGGTCCTCGAAGCGATCTGCCATGTCGGCCTCGCTCTCATGATTCTTGTCCGCGTGCTGCTCGGAGGACCTCTTGACGCCGCGCCGAAAGCGCTTCACCCCCTTGTGTTCGTCGGGGATTTCCACGCCAAGCATCCCTTCATCATCGTGGGCGACCTTATACCCTTTGTATTTCGTATCGATGTGCTGGGCGACCTCCGCCTCCGAATGCACGCCCTGCTTGTACGGGAGCTTGTGGGACTCCACGAACTGCCACAGAGGCATCCAGCTACCCTCGACGAAATATTGGTTGAAACTGCTCTTGACCTGCTTAGTCTTGTACGTGTTGATGTCGACCTGTTCCTTGCCCCCCTTCGTGTGCTTCGACTCGCCCGAGACCTTTTACTTCCGAAGCTCCACGATCTTGACCATCAGCTCGCTGCTCGCCGAGGCCTCCTCATTCAGCTCTTTCTGGGAGATCCCTTTGAAGTGGTCCCTGCGAACGTCCGAGCAGGCGTAGCACTCGTGGCCGCACAGCCTGTAGCCGCCTGGCGCCGATGTGTCACTGGACGTTTTTGTCCAGACCAGGAACGTCGGCTGCTTCTCGCAGTCTCTGTCGAGCGAGTGGGTGTCCTGGTCGCAGGTATCGCAATGTTGCGGAGGCAAGTGCTTCCACTTGTTGAAGACCATCTTCCCGTTGACCACGACGTTCCCCCCCGCGCAGCCCAGGCCCTTCTTCGGGGGCCGAGCCTTGGAAACCGACGGCGCCATGGGCAGCGCTATCTGGCCAGGCGCGCGCCTCGAGGTCAGCACTTCTGCGGCCTGCACCGGAACCAGAGCCAAAATGGCTACGACGGTGGAAGTGCAATGAGGCCCTCTTTGGGCGGTGACCTCCTGGAGCCCTCTTGGAGCCGCATTGAAGACCTTCGGGGGACTCCTATGACGACATGCGAGGGCGCCGAGAGGACTGCGTGGAAGCCCATGGAGGGGCCTCGCAATGCCCATCAAATAACGAAGTGGTGTATGTTAAATTTGTGTCATCCAATAATGAAGTGGTTTGCGTTAAACTTGTGTTGAATTATTGGCCCTCTTGGTGGCGAGGTGGTGGGCCTTAGAGCCCTCAGAGGGACCCCGCAGGGCCCCAAGAGGGCCCAGGAGGGCCCCAAGCGGGCCCAGGAGGGCCCCAAGGGAGGCCCGAGAGACGAGAAAACCCTAGGAGCCCCCTAGAGGTTCCAGGAGGACCCCCATCGCCCACCCCAAACAAAAAAAAAAAACACCCCCACGAGCCTCCAATAGGCCAGGAAGGGGCCCAGGCAGCCCCCAAGAAGGGACTCCGAAACCGTCCCCGCGCACGCGCGTGCACGCACCGATCTCCGAAAGCGTCGCACCGATCTCCGAAAGCACGCACAGATCTCCGAAAGCGAGGAATATGTGAGTACGTTTCCAGAGGGCTCGCAAAGGCGCCCGCAATCGAACAATCCCGCTCGCCGAGCGGCTCATCACTGAGTGGCACCAGCAAAACAGCGAGAGGTCGGCATCCAACCAATGTGTAGAAACTCGTGGTCGGCATCTCTACGTCTCCCGCCTTCTCCCTCCCCTCTCAACTCTGTGCCAATGCGCATCCTCATTGCTCTCCTCCACCACCGCCCTCCTCTCCCGCCGCCCCCACCTCCTGCCCTCCCCCACTCTCCTCACCCCCTTGCCCTCCTACCTCATCTCTAGGCTCCAGGGGCCGACGGTGCCGATCGGTCTCGGATCAAGCGAGGCTCAAGCTTAGTCGGTGTCCTCGCTCTGCTGACAGCTGTTGTCACTCACCCCGTCGCCGTCATCTGCTGCATCCTCAGGCCCCTGAGCCTCTGCCCTGCCTCTGCCGCAACCGCCGCCTCCTCGGCCTGCTCGTCGGAGACCGCGATCCTCTTGAGCTCCTTGTGGCAGAACGTCTTCACGAGCAAGTGCTTCGGCATGGACGAGGCGCGGATGACCTTGTTCCCGATATTCACGATCTTCCCAGGCGTCGCGGGCTTGACCTTAGCGGAGAGCCTGACGATGTCTGGCAGGATGACCACGCCCTTGCTCTTCAGCTCTTTCAGGCACACCTTGCGCGCGCTCGCCATCACGCGGCAGACCGTGCCGTAGTTGATCGGCGCGCCGTAGACGTTCTCGTGATCATCAAGGAGGGCCTCATCTGCGACCGCCTGCAAGAACGGATGACTCTGCAGCGCCCTCGGAGGCTGAAGGACGGGAAGGACGGCGTCAGCGCGGGGAGGCTGAAGGACGGGAAGGACGGCGTCAGCGTGGTCACCTTCTTCTTGTTGAGCCATGGCCGTGCCGAGCAGCGGAAATCAGGCGTGCCGCAACTGGGTTCGCTTCGTTCCACGGTCTCGAGCCTGGTCTCACATGGGGATTGTTTAGGCGTTCGCCACCTCGCCCTGGCTGCGAAACTATAATGCGCCCCCTAATAGCCTGCCAAACCCGACGTACAGTCACCGTGAAACCCCCCAGTCCCGACCAGGCTACGAGCACAAGTTGAGCACAAGTTGAGCACAAGTGAGCACAAGTTGAGCACAAGTAGCTAGATTCCATGTGGAATTTACAGGGTTTGCGCCCCCCCCCCCCCGAGTTGAGCTCACCTGTGCTCAACTTGCGCTCACTTGCGCCCACTTGTGCTCGGATTCCGCCCCGACAGGAGGAGACTGATGAGTGCCCCTGCTCGCGAGGAGGACGGGGTGGAGGGAGAAGGTAGGGCCGGAGAGAGTAGGGGGGGGCGGCGGCGGAGGGAGCACATTGAGGACGGGGGGGGGGGGGCAGGAAGGGGAAAGCGGGAACCAAGGCAGCGAATGATCTTCCTCTGTCATCATCCCATCCCCTGCCGCCTCCTCCCACGCTGCCTTGGGGAGGGGGAAGGGGCTGGTGCCTCGCCCCATCGCTCCAAGCGGACCGAAAGGACCCCGACCTCATCGCTCCAAGCGGGCCCGTCGACGTCGCTGTGGTTATCGTTATCGTCGCCCTCGGCTGTCGAAGGAGGGCTCAAAAAACCTGGCGGAAGCGCCCAGTGCGAAGAAGTTGCGACGCCAGGATCCTAGGGTTCGAATCGGGATCGACTGCTCCTCGGCCCCCGAACCCCTCGCAATATTCCAGGAGACGATCGGGCGACGGGTCGGCTTGCAGACTCCGATGCGCAAGCTCGCGCAACGTGGCTACTCGAGCAAGCGGAGCGCCGCCTCCAAGTGCGCCTTCTGGCTCGCATCGGCCGCGGCACGAATCCAACGCCTCAGGATCGCCATGCTGGAGACCCTCGTTTCCAGGGGCGTGGACACGATGCATGCGGCATGGAGGTAACGCAAATCTCGCAAGGCTTTGCCCCGCTTCGTTCTGAATTGGAAGCGGAAGGTCCCTTTAGGAATTGGCAAAGGGCAGCACGCGCAGCGAGGTCTGTCACTCGCTGCCAGGTCGCAAGCCTTGAGGCCCACGTCGATGGCGCTGCCGAGCGGCGGCGCCTCCTCCTCCTGGGTCCGAAGTGGCCTGGAAAATGCCCCCCCGTGGTGTTTATTGTCCTGGGAGCTTCCCCCCCCTCCCTCGGGCGTCGACGGGGCTAGAGGGGGGGCAGCATGCTTGCCGAGCAGAGGTGCGGAGCCTTTGGCGCCAGGAGGGCGCAAGAAGGCCCCGAAGAGGGACCTCGCGACGCCTAAAACCTGAAGACGGCCAATGGGGACCTCCGAATGGGGCTTCTGTAAGGCCGGTAGGGCCCCGAGACCCCGAGAGGGCCCCAGCCTGCAATCTCTGCGACATGGGTTGGAGGACGAGGCTGCAAGAGGCAAAAGCCCTCTGGGGGTTGTACGTTGTAAGGATAGGATGGCGGGGCTCGGTGCATGGGTCATGGCGTTGGGTTTCGGATTCGCACGCTCGGATTGGGGGAGGGGGAGGGGAAGGGGATGGGCAGGACGGGGGGGGGCAAGGTGAATGGGGAAGGGGAAGGAAAAGGGGAGGGGACGGGGAGGGGGAGGGGAGGGAAGGGGAAGGGGAAGGGGACGGGAAGGGGAGGAGGAGGGTTGCAAACGGCAACTTGCACCTGTGAGCCCCGCAACCTAAGGAGGCCGCCATGACGCCCCTCACCCTCAGTAAGCCCCGAATGGGGCCCATGCCCCGCTCGCGGAAGGCCTCGATGAAAACCCCAGTGAGGCCTGCAGGGGGGCGAGCACCAGAGGCCTCCAGAAAACCTTTGCAAGGCCCTCAGGGCGCCCCCTATTACGCGGACGTTGGCCCCTCCCGCTGGGATTTGCGGCCCGCGCCTCCTCGTCTCCGTTGTCGTCGCTGTCGTGCGAGCCCTCGGAGTCCGAGACCGACGCCGAGTCCTCGACGTCCCCGCCGCTGACGTCGCCGTCCAGGCCACCTGACTCGCGCACCGAGCTGCCCCCAGCGTCGCTGTCGTCGCCGTCGAGCTTGCCCTCGATCTTCTCGGAGCCCGTGAACTCGGAGATGATGCCGAAGCCGAGGTCAACGCCGCCGCCATCGCGGCCCTTGTCCTCGGTGGCCTTCGTGAGTCGGCGTTCCCTCCTGCACAAGCCCACCTCGAACTCGACCAGCGTCTCGTGCTTCAGTCTGACGGCCCAGCAGGCGTAATTCTCCAGCGGCTCGTGCCCCCACACGGCGACCTTGAGCGTGCCGACGTCTGGCGCGAGCAGGTCGGAGCCCTGGAACATGCTGCGGAATACGAGTTGTGAAGTGCTGGGGGTCGCTCGTCCACCCTCTGCAATATCCAGCTTGAAAGCGGCATCGCCGTCGACGCCTGGGCAGTCCATGACAGGGACTGCCTTCACCAGCAGCGCAAAGTCGCCAGCGCCGAAAAAGCGAGCAATGAAATGATACTCTGAATGTTCAGCGAGAGTGAAGCGCAAGAGCCTCGGGAACGTCTTCACCGCGAGCCTGGACATCTTCACGTAGAGGTTGTACGTACCAGTCATGGCCTTGTCGCGCCAAAGGTCCTGCTGGCAAAGCCCCGCATGGAGGAAACAGCACGGCTTGAACTGGCGAAGTGGCCGCGGGTTGCGAGGCTCTGCAACGGGCTTATACTGAAATATGCGTTTCGCTTGTGCGATCATGCTTGCATTCGTCCCACGTGCTGCCACGTACGCCGCCGCAATGCCAGTGCCATAAGCTGCGCAAGAACATCCAGATGTCCAGGCAGCATGCGACACGATCTTGTTGAAGGTGACCAGGGCGGCCTCGCGACGAATGCTTGCGTCGCCGACCTGGCCCGCGTCAGGCTGGCCATCGCACAGGGAAGGAAAATCAACGACCGCAGCATGAGCCCTCCTCTGTCTGGCTCTCATGTTGTACCTGTCCTTGTCCGCCTGCGGTAAGTCCACCCACCTGTTGACCAGACATCGTCGCTTGGCGAGGGGGCCGAGGTGGTCGCAGTCGTGCTTGTTCTCGCGGATGTACAAGTCCATGCCAGATTGGCCCCTCCTTCTCTTGCCCGTGGCCAGCCCTGAAACAACTTTCTTTGCAGACAGTTTGCCTCTGCCTCTATTCATCGCATGTCGCACCATGAACTGGGGCCACCTCTTCACCAGAGCTGGCGTAGGCAAACAATCTCGAAGGACCCGCTCGTGAGTTGCGCGAGCAGCTTGTTTCACTCCCTTCAGGTAAGTGGTGCGTTCCAGGGCGGTGCACGAGGGCGCCCTGCCGCGCCGCCGTCGCCCACGTACCTCCGTGCCTAGCAAGTGTTTGACTTCGACGTTCTTCGACGTCAGCCTGATCGTTGCCACCATGTCGCGCAAGCATCTGTGCGCCCTGCAAGCTTGGTCTGGGCTGGTTAGTCGTTGGATCCATTTGAGGGTGAAGTATTTGTCGACGCAGCCTTGGCAGGCCTCCGCGGCCAGCCTGATCGGGCGAATCCGTGCCTCGACGCTGGCGGCCGAATAGTGCTCATCCAACGCCACAGACAATAACTTATACCTGGGATCGGCAGCGTATCGATAGTCGAGTCTCCACCATGTCTCGGCCAAAGCGACGACGCATGCACTGGCCGCAGTAAACTTTGCAGAAAAGCCACCTGAGAGGCCTTCCCAATGGCCTGCGTCCCAAGACGACAACAAACCCGCAAAATGCTGGTGTGCCTGCTCGCCCTTCCGACCACTCAAGACCTCGCAATTCTTGGCGATCGCTTTCTGCATCACCTCATGCCAGTCGGGTGGCACGGCCCCGCCAGGGACAGTAGCGTGCATGCATGAAGACGTCGTCGTCGCGTGAGCCTCGGCGCCCATCAGAAAGTTCAGGAAGTCTTGGAGAGGCTTGTTCAGGGCGATGGCGTAGTTGAGAGACTCGCCACCAGCATCGTCGATCAACCACCTGACTGTCTTCCCAGCCCTGATCGTGTTCTTCACCGCTGCGCCCACGCTCTCGGGGTCGTTCGCGCCCTGGGCGGCCTCCTCCTCGGCTTGCCGAACTCGCGCGGGAGGGTAGGCCTTCGACCACGCGCGCCGCAGGAGATCCCCGCATTCTCTGGCGCGATATGCGAAAGATACGGCCTGTTCAAACCCCTTCCATCGGCACAGCAGTGGCGTTGTCATCGGCCCGCCCGCAATGAGACGAACAGCAGCGACAACGTGCTTCCTGGCGACGTCGCGCCTGCCCGCGCGCCCGAGGGGGCACTCCTCGAGCAGGCAATAATGGACCAGCTCGAAGTCGTCGTCGTCAGACTGCTTGGCGGCCGTCCAAGACATGTTCAACGTGTCCAAGACGTAACTCTCGTCCGACTCCGTCAAGTCCAAGGCTGGACGCGCCCGCTGCAGGACCAGCGCGTTCGCCCTCCTGGAGTCCACGGCGCGATATCCAGATCTGCGCCAACCCCCACCCCCGCAGCCCCGCCCACAGTGGCCTTTGCTCCGCACCGCCGCCCGCCTTCCATTCGGACGAGGGTCGGATAGGAGGAAAAGGGGGCGGCGGCGACGAGCGGCGGGGCGGGGGAACGGGGTGGGGGGCCGAATCAGATCCAGATGATCCCCATGAGGTCCTCCACTCCGCCGACTCATCGGGCAAGTTCTCCACCACCACGTAGCGGAACTTCTCGGCGATGGCGTCGAGCTCCTCCTTGTACTTCACGCAGACTCGCCCGCTCTCGAACAAGTGGCCAAGGCGCACGAGCGGGCTGGCGGCGCCAACTGCCATGATGAGGGGCTTCATCGGGAGCACGCACGAGTGCGCAGCGCAGCTCATGTCCAGGAAGGTCATCTTGGCTCTCTCGTCGGCTGGCTGCTCGTCGTGGGACTGCTGCTCCAGGGCAACCAGGCACTCGTTCAAATTTAGATTATCTTTCATG